TGTTTTTTAAAAGTTATCAAATATTTTTTAACTTATTTCTTAAAATTAATCTTAAAAAAACTAAATGAAAAAGAAGAAATTGACGTGAAAGTATTAGAACTATTGTTATTTGATAAATACCGACACTAGACTTTTAACAAGTCGTCCATGATGAAAAATATCGGTTTATCTAATACATGTCTTCATATATATATAGTATTAATTATTATTTTTCCGTATTATTTAGTTAATTGATTTCTTTCTTTTATAAATTATAATATTTATTTAATTAACTTTTTTTAGTTATATTAACTTCAACATAAAATCTGTATCTTCTAAATTTAAAATAAACTCAATAAATACTTTTATCTAAAATTTAATTTATTAGTATTATATATATATATATATATATATATATTATTTATTTTTATTTTTATTCTATTAACTTATAAATAATATTTTATATTATATTTGAAAAGTTTACATATAAAAACTATAACAACCCATAACTATATATAATTAAAATAAACATAATAATTCAAAATATAAATTCCTTCTCTATAAGAATATATATATATATATATATATATATATATATATATATATATATATATAACTTCGAAAATCAAAACAAAGCACAAATCTACATTATTCCTAACTCTCCAAGACTAAATATTGAATTTGACATTTTGTCGTACCAAAACTCTAACTTTCCAAGCATAATACAAGGGTGTTCGAGTTTGGTATATACATTCACGTGTGACTAGGGTAAATTTTTAAGTGACTTATCAAGACATAATTCTTTTTCACACCGTAGATTAAATCATTATAACCTCCTTTAACTCACCATCTGATCATTTAATCTATGTAATTCTAGTGACCTGTAGAGTCATGATATATCCTCAAATCCCAAATCAATATTTATACATATGACATTACATACATGAGAATACATCTTCGTAATTCTTATGTCACAACACAATATTTATTCAAAACATATAATAACATTTAATAAACCTCATTTTATGTGTTATAATATGTATTTTAAGATCTTAAGGCCATACCTATCATTTTTCACATCATAACAAAATATAATTTTTTTTAACCTTTATCCACTCTTTTGAGAATAACTTTTTTATGTAGGCATCCTTTTTAACTACTTCTTATTTTATTGAATTTCTTATTTATGGGGTTTCGATTTGCATATATGGAAGTTTAATTTGGAGTTCCAAACTATTTTTTATGATTTTTCGAAACTAGTTGAGCGAATTTAAAAGCATTGAGCAAAATTTTGATAGAATAAAATATCTAATACTGTCTAAAATTCGTTGGGCGAATCTTAAAGCGCTGAACGAAATTTTGACTAAATGAAATCCTTAACACTGTCCAAAATTTGTTGGGCAAATCTAAAAGCTCTAAGTGAAATTTAAGCACTTTTAACATTGCTTTAAATCCACTGAGCAAATTTAGATTTGCTGAACATATTCATGATAGTAGCAAACTGCATAATCTTATCAATATTCTTATTCTAATGTTTCAAATTAAATTAAATCTAAATCTTATCCTCAAATTATAAATCAATTCACTAAAATCAATCAAAGAACAATATATTTATACAAAAGACTATCATTTTCAATATCATAGAAATCAATTATACATTCACATTCAAAACAATCATCACAAATCAACACATACACAATCCATAATCCAATTTTCTAAAATTCAATCAATGAGACCAAGTTACCTTCTTAGTCAGATCTTTTAACCTAGAGTACTATGAAAATTGAAAAATAAATAACTTCCCTGATCTTAAACACAGTGTCTCTAAGTCAGATAATCCCAAAAACCCCTAAACTTTAAAGAAGATAGATCTTGCTCATAAAAAAACCTCAGTTAATAAATTGAGCATACCACAATGTTCATAAACTAGTCAAAATTCATCTTTCCACAACAAAATGTACATGCAAGCCCCCCCGGAACCCACATGCAAATCTAAAGTCAAACATGAAAAAATAATATAAAATTAGAAAATGAGAAACTTACTCTGTTCGAAATTTCAATTAGGAAGAAATGAAACTCCTCTCCTCCAAGAGCACTAAGGTGTGCTTGGATCTAGAAAAAGATGAGAGAGAAAGTGAGAAATTTAGAGAAGGCAAAGGAAATTGAGTTGTAAAAAGATGGTGATTTTGTGAGAATAAAGTTTGAATGGTTAAACTTTTCTATTTATAATTCTTTTTAGCTTAATTAATAAAACTTCAAACTTACTCTTATTATACCACTTCTACTCTTAACACTCTTAAATTAAATCTCACAAAATTAATATTATAATTTACAAATAATATTTTGTGTTGATAATCTATAAACTATAATTAAAATGAGAAATCCTCGTACAATAATTTAAACAAGTAGTTTAGTTTATATAAATAATCCACACAAATATATTTTATTTAAGTAATCATTGAAGATAATATATATTATATATAATATTTTTTTCATAATAACCTAACAATAATATTTTGAATCAATAATGAACTTACGATATTATTTAATGATATAATATATTTTTTAATTATTTTCATTTATTTTGTATCTAAATTTTAAATTTATATTTTAATTTTTTGTTTTATTTTCGTAATGATGATACAAGTAAATACAATTCTTATATTTTTTGTTATTATGATATTTTGTTTTGTTGGTAAAATTGTTTTATTATCTTTTATTTAAATTAGATATAAGAGATTTTTATTATTGTTTAGAATAAGAGAAAAATATATTAGGTTATTATTTTAATTTAGGTAGTTATGATTGAGATAGTGTTAATATTTGATATTTTGTCATTGTTTTTACTTTCTATATATAGAGTATATGAGTATGTGAAGAGTTTTGGTTCTTATGAGAAGAATGAAAGGGGAAGAAAGTTGTTCACAAGTCGTCATTCCACTTTTCAATTATAAAAGTTATAAGAATATGTGGAAGAAGAAGATTACATTATTGATTTGCTGTATGAAAATCTCATCACAACTCAAATCAAAATTCAAAAGTAAAAAAAAAAACAAATAAAGAAGGCAAAAGCGAAATCATGTTTATATGTAGATATTTCACAACTGATTTTCATAAGAATCATAACCTTAAAATCATAAAATAAATTTGGAATTATTTAAAAAAAACTTGAAATTATTTAAAAAAATTTGAAATTATTTAAAAAGATAAAGTACCCACAAATAGGGGTAAAAGAGATATGAAGAGAAAATTCCAACAACCAATCAATCTAACATCGAGATCTTAAAAACAAGACTCCATGTACGAATTGTCAAATATGCAGGAAATATTACAACAAATATGATGAGAAATTTTAGAGTTTCGTGTATGTATATTTTGTATATATGAAATATATCTCATATGGATATATCTCCATATATTTTTTATTCATGTACTCATATACTCTATATACATAATAAAATAAGAAAAAATATCAAATATTAACAATATCACAATCATAACTACCTAAATCAAATTAATAACCTAATATATTTTCTCTTATTCTAAGCTATAATAAAAATATTGCTTAATATTTAATTTAAATAAAACATAATAAAATATTATTTCCAACAAGATGTGCCTTAGGAAGGAGAAAACCGAGAAAGATATTAAAGGCTAAAGCTGAGGATCTTAAGCAAAATGATAAAGAGTTCAAAAACCATGATCGTGAAACTGAGAAACTTAAGGTTGAGTTGAAAAAATTGTAAAAGTTGAAGAAGTTCAAACTTATCATGAATTTGCCTGTATTAAAAGACAATGAAACAAAGAAAGAAAAAAAGAAGAGGTGCTCGAGAGAAGAAAATGTCTTTGTTATGTTACATTTTGTGGATGAAAGATCATTGGAAGATAAAAAAAGAAAATTTAAACATGTTAAGAGTTGGAAAGGAAGACGGTTAAAGCCGAAAAGAATAAGTCTTACGAGAAGAGATGAGAAATTTTTTTATTTGCAAGTGATTACAAAAGAAAAATATAACAATGCCACGATGAAATTAAATGGAGAGATGAACTCATTCAAGAAAGAAAATGAGAAAATTACAAACAAAATAAGAAGAAGAAAACAAAAATAGAAAGAAAATATTTCAAATTCAAATAAACAAATATTAAATCAAGAATGTTGAGAATATTGTTTTGTTATTTTTTATTTAAATTAAATTTTAAGAAATTTTTATTATTCTTTAAAATAAGAGAAAAAATATTAGATTATTATTTTAATTTAACTAGTTATGAGATAAGTTTAATGTTTGATATTTTATATTTTATAATATTCTTATTATAAATAGATAATGAGAATAGATAAATAGAAATATGGAGATATAAAAAAAATATGGATATACCATATAGTTCATGTATAAAAATACATATACATGAGATCCATGAAAAAAATCTCATCATGTTTAAATTTCTTTGTTATTATTATATTATTTTATTTAAATTATTTTTATTTTTATTTTTAAATATACATAATTATGAGTATGTGAAAATTATAAGAAAAATATAATAAGTGAATTAATAAAATAATAATAATAGTTAAGAAAGAAAATTTGAATAAATAAATTAATAAAATACAAAATAATTAATGATACGTGTGATTAAGGACACAGGTTAATCAAACCTCTAATATTTCATCATCCGCATGTATTTATATATAAAAAAAAACATGTTGTGGATATCAAACGGGATTGTTAAATAATTAGGTGTGCATTCTCTATACCGACAACAATAAATACACATATATGCTACATTATGCTATTCACATTAGTCTGATATTTGGACATCTAACAATTCCATACATCTTGTTATTGTGTAATTTTTCACTACCTTTGTCTCAATTAAATCATATCTATTCATCTTTCTTTGTATTTTCTTTAATATCTTTTAGCATTTGAATTTCTAATTATAGTTTTACTTTTACTATTTTTTATTTCTATCTCACACTCAGACGTGTTTTGATAGAATATTTGCAGCAAGCAGATCTAGAAAACATGGCCGAGAAAGCAATTCATGTAGTGATGGTTCCATGGTCTGCCTTTGGCCACTTGATGCCGTTTTTCCAACTTTCCATAGCCTTAGCCAAAGCTGGTGTTCGTGTCTCCTTCGTATCAACTCCCAGAAACATTGAAAGACTTCCCAAAGTTCCTCCAGCTTTAGCTCATTTGGTTGATTTTGTGCAACTTCCTTTGCCATCATTGGACAAAGATCTCTTGCCAGAAAATGCTGAAGCCACCATGGATATTCCTTTTGAAAAAATTCAATACTTAAAGTTGGCATATGACCATCTCCAACATGGTGTCAAGCAATTTGTGGCCGATCAGTTACCTGATTGGATCATTTGTGACTTTAGTCCTTATTGGATTGTAGACATTGCCCAAGAGTTTCATGTAAAGTTAATCTTCTTTAGTGTTTTCTCTTCTCCTGCAGTAACATCATGGAGAGCACGACTTACGCGGAAAACTCCTATATCTTCGGAAAGTCTAACAAAACCACCAGAATGGGACACATTTCCATCGTCAGCTTCTGAGGTACGTGACCTTGAAAGGATCACGACGATGATTTCTGCTTCTCAAGCAATATTATATCGTGGCTGCTACGAGATTGACGGAGAACATCTGCATGCACGCCAACAAAAATCTGAGAAGCCTGTGATTCCCATAGGTTTGTTGCCTGTTGTTAGTATTTTAAGAAGGATAGGAAAGATAGTTTGATGTTTAGTAGTGAGATTTGTGTAGAAAATAGTTTTTAGAAAGAGGTGGACAAATAGGAGAAGGTTTGTATGAGGGAAGATAGTAATTGATGTTAGAAGTGTTACAAGATATGTAGGAGCTTGTATTAGATTTTCCACACATACAAATACTCCCTTCATGCCTATTTATAGGCTTTACTTACAAGATTCTAGAATTTTCTACTATTTTCATTAGTACACATATGTTTTCTACATAATTCTAGAAGTTTTACATAATTCTATATTTTCTTAATTCTAGAATCATCTATCTTCTACTTTCAAACATTTCTAGAATCTTCTAAGGATTCTAGATATTACTCATATATAATTCCTAATTCTAGTAACATCTAAGATTTTATATTCTAGATCTTTCTAGAATTTGTATCATCTTTCAACACTCCTCCTTGATGCAAATTCTTGTAACTCCAAGCATGAAACGTAATTGTTCAAACTTGGCTCTTGGTAGTGCCTTGGTAAATATGTCCGCAATTTGATCTTACGTAGTGCGGTACTCAAGTTGAATTTGTTTAGTCGCTTCGACCTCTCCGATGAAGTGATATTTAATAGCTATATGTTTTGTTCTTTGATGATGAACAGGATTTTTCGTCATTGCTATTGCTGATTTGTTGTCGCAATAAATAGTAGTTGGTCCATCTTGTGGTTCGCCCATTTCTTCAAGTATTCTTCGTAGCCATATTGCTTGACTTGTAGTTTCAGCAGCAGCTATGTATTACTGCTTCAACTGTTGATTGTGCCACGGTTGCTTGCTTCTTTGATGCCCATGAGAAAAAACCCGATCCAAGTGAGAAGGCGTATCCTGACGTACTCTTCATGTCGTCTATTGATCCTGCCCAATCACCGTCGGTGTAGCAAATCATCCTTGAGTTGGTCATGGTCTTGTACCATATACCAAACTCTCTTGTGCCTTGCGAGATACCTTAAAATCCTTTTTCCTGCTCCATAGTGAATCGACTTGGCTTTTGCATGAATCTTGACAGAAGACTTGTAGCATACATAATGTCCGGTCGTGTAGGCTGTGAGATATAGAAGGCTTCCGATCAAACTCTCGTATCGTGATACGTCTACTTACGGTGCTCCATCATCTTTCTTTAGCTTTTCGTTTACCACCAAAGGAGTAGTGACAAGTTTACATCCGTACATCTTGAATCTCTTTAGTAGAGCTTCAGTATATTTCTTCCGAGAGATAAATATTCCTTCTTTTTGTTGTATCACCTCTATCCGAGGAAGTAGTTCATCAAGCCAAGATCAGTCATTTCGAATGTTTTCATCATATCTTCTTTGAATTCTTTCATCATTTCCTTATTGTTTCCTGTATAGATGAGATCATCAACATATAAGGAGACAATGAGATTATCCTGACCTTGTGTCTTGATATAAAGTGTTGGCTCACTCTTGCTCCTCCTAAATCCTTGATCGATAAAATATTTATCAATCTTACTATACCATGCTCGAGGAGCTTGCTTCGGGCCATATAGAGCTTTTCTTAGTCTTAGTACTTTTCCTTCGTGGCCTTTGTTGATGAATCCTTGTGGTTGCTCAACATAGATCTCTTCTTCTAGTGTTCCATTGAGAAAGGCGGATTTGACATCCGAGTTGATGGATGTTCCAACCTTTTTGTGCAGCAAGGGCTATTAAAGCTCTAATTGTATCTAGGCGAGCAAGCTGGAGCAAAAGTCTCATTGTAGTCGATCCCGGGTTGTTGTGAGTATCCTTTTGCGACCAATCTTGCCTTATATTTTTGTATGGTTCCATCGGGGTTGAGCTTAGTTTTATATATCCATTTTACTCCAATGATATATTTTCAGTGAGGACGAGTCCACAAGCTCCCAAGTATTATTCTTCTCAATCATTTTGATTTCTTCTTCCATGGCCTTGACCCATACTTCTTGCTTTGAAGCTTCTTCATAGCGAGGAAGGCTCAATGATGGCCATGTTACAAGTTTCATATATATCTACCAAAGATCTTACACGTCTTGGTGTAGACTGCGGTGAAGTATATTCTTCTTCTTCTTGTGGAGGTGGAGAAAGCGTACCTGGATCTCCTGTTTCTTCTTCAAGTTGTTGTCTTGGAACCAGGATGTTGCTTCTAACAACTTTTTCTTCTTCCCAATTCCAAAAAGCATTTTCGTCAACCTCAACATCTCGATCGATGATGAGTTTCTTTGTTTGTAGGTTGTAGACTCGATAGCCTTTTGACTGTTGGTCTGTATCCCAAGAATATTCCTCTTATAGTTTTGTCTTCAAGCTTATGCCTCCTCCGATCGGGAACATGTATGTAGCAAATTGATCCAAATATTCGTAGGTGTTTAGGCGATGGCTTTCTTCCACTCCAAGATTCAATAGGAGTCTTGTTTTGGACTACCTTAGTTGGACATCTATTGAGTATATATACGGCGGTGTAAGCGCTACGCCCAAAATGTATTTGGCAAGCCTTTCTCCTTCAACATTGATCTTGCCATCTCCATGACGGTGCGATTTTTTCTCTACGAGACACCATTCAGTTGTGGAGAATATGCGACTGTAAGTTGTCGCTCAATACCTTCATCCTCACGGAATTTATCAAATTCGTGGGAGGTGTACTCTTTGCCTTGATCGCTCCCGAGAACCTTTATCCGTTTTCCGCTTTGCTTTTCGACAAGGGCCTTAAATTTCTTGAATATTCTAAAGACTTCGATTTTGCTTTGATGAAGTAGATCCAAGTCATTCTAGAAAAATCATCAATGAAGAGAATGAAGTACCTGTTGTTATTAAGCGATGGAGTCCTCATTGGTCCGCAAATATCCGTGTGGATTAACTCCAACAAGTCTTTTGCTCTCCAAGTATTTCCCGTAGAAAATGGTAATCTGTGTTGCTTTCCCGGAAGACATCCTTCACAAGCTTCACTACTCTCCTTAAGGCTTGGTAGATCTCTCATCATGCCTTTTTGATGTAGTAGCTTTAAGGCATGAGTATTGAAGTGACCAAATCTACGATGCCATAGCCACGAGTCATCAACTTCTACTTTCATGGCAATGTTAGTTCCTCGATTGAAGCTTATAGGAAAACTTCTATTTCTCTTTTCCATTTTTACTTGGCCAATCTCTAGATTTTTCTTATCGTAGATAGTGCATGTATCTCTTTCAAAGTGGAGAGTATATCCTTTCTCCATCATTTGACCAATACTTAAGAGATTTTCTTTAAGATTGGGAACTAGTAAAACATCATTGATAAGTCTCATACCTTTCTTGGTCTCCACCATAACACTGCCTTTTCCTTTTGACTCTACCACGGTGCCATTTCCCAGTCGTACTTGAACTTTGATGGAGTTATCAATTTCTTTGAAGATGCTTGGATCATTCGCCATATGGTTACTACATCCGCTGTCCAAGTACCATCTTCCTTTTGATTCATTGTCAAAACATCCCGTAGCATAGAAGAGATGTTGTTCTCTGTCCCGTTTTTCAGCAAAATTTGCTTGTTGATGATTTTTGTTGCGACACATTTTCTCTAGATGTCCAAATTTCTTACGGTATTGACATTGAGGTTTTCCTCGATGCCAACAATCTTTTTCCAAGTGACTTGTCTTTTTGCAAGTTCCACATGGAGGATATTTTCCTTGAATAGTCTTGGAAAAATTTCTAGAATTTTCCTTATTCTTAGAAAGTTCTCTATTAATTTTATTTCCTCCATTTTGAGACCGTAATTTTAGTTTTGATTGAAAGGCATTTTCGACGGAGTCTTCTTCACGCCTTTTCAATCTTTGTTCATATGCTTCAAGAGAGCCTATTAGTTGTGTCACCGATAATGTAGATAAATATTTTGTTTGTTCAATTGCGAGTTGCAATTGCATCATATTTTTGGGGAATAGAAATTAGAATTTTCTCAACAATTTTCTTGTCAAGAATATTTTCCCCATAGGCTCTCATCCGACTAACTATTTCTTTTATTTTAGAATAGTAGTCTTTTATGGTCTCGGATTCATTCATTCTTATTAACTCAAATTCTCTTCTTAGAGAATGGAGTTTAATATTGCGTACCTCATCACTTCCTTGAAACTCCTCCTGAATTGTATTCCAAGCTTCCTTTGCACTTGTGGCACCCATTATTTTTGGAAAAATAGTGTCATCAACTGCTTGCTGAAGAGTGAATAATGCCCTTGAATCCTTCTGTTTGTTTTCCTTCAGCTCCTTCCTCTGGGCAGCTGTAAGAGTTGAGATGTCTTCTGGAATAGTGAACCCATCTTCAATGACATCCCAAAGATCTTGAGAACAAAAAAATGTCCTCATTTTGACTCTCCAAAAATCATAATTTTCTCCCTTAAAAATAGGAACTGGAATGGATGATGTTTGGTTGGTAGTGGCCATAGGTTGAAAATTTTCTTTTGGAAGTAATGTGTAGTGGAATATGGTTTTTTAAGGTAGTAAAAAATTTTCTCTACGCCCAGTAGGTGACCGAACCTGGCTCTGATACCACTGTTAGTATTTTAAGAAGGATAGGAAAGATAGTTTGATGTTTAGTAGTGAGATTTGTGTAGAAAATAGTTTTTAGAAAGAGGTGGACAAATAGGAGAAGGTTTGTATGAGGGAAGATAGTAATTGATGTTAGAAGTGTTACAAGATATGTAGGAGCTTGTATTAGATTTTCCACACATACAAATACTCCCTTCATGCCTATTTATAGGCTTTACTTACAAGATTCTAGAATTTTCTACTATTTTCATTAGTACACATATGTTTTCTACATAATTCTAGAAGTTTTACATAATTCTATATTTTCTTAATTCTAGAATCATCTATCTTCTACTTTCAAACATTTCTAGAATCTTCTAAGGATTCTAGATATTACTCATATATAATTCCTAATTCTAGTAACATCTAAGATTTTATATTCTAGATCTTTCTAGAATTTGTATCATCTTTCAACACCTGTAGAAAGAGGAATTGTTGATGGATGTAAGGATAAGATATTTGAGTGGCTTGATAAGCAAGCACCCAAATCAGTTGTATTTGTGGGTTTTGGCAGTGAGTTGAAGCTTAGCAAGGACCAAGTTTTTGAGATAGCTTATGGACTTGAGGAGTCCGAATTGCCATTTTTATGGGCACTGAGAAAACCAAGTTGGGCAATCAATGATGAAGATTTTCTACCTGCTGGTTTTGTTGAAAGGACTAGTAACAGAGGAGTTGTTTGTAAGGGATGGGTCCCACAACGGGAAATATTGACACATTCATCTATTGGAGGGTCTTTGTTTCACTCTGGTTGGGGTTCTGTCATTGAAACCTTGCAGTTTGGTCATATCCTAGTTGTATTACCCTTCATTATAGATCAACCTCCTAATGCAAGGTTTTTGGTGGAAAAGGGTCTAGCCATAGAAGTGAATAGAAATGAAGATGGGTCATTCACTAGAAAAGACATCGCCAAATCCCTTAGAAAAGCTATGGTATCAGAGGAAGGAAAGAAAATAAGAAGTAATGCAGAAGAAGCTGCTGCAATTGTAGGAAACATGGAACTCCACCAGGGTCATTACATAGCTGAATTTGTTCAGTTTCTGAAGAGTGGAATCTGGAAACAAAAATCAATTTGAAGAAGATCATCATTGTTTCTTGTTTTTAGGTTTATCGATTGGTTAAATAAAACCCTATTCTTTAGGGCAGCGTGGATTAACATTTTTCTTATCAGTTAGTCACTTCATTATTGTCATCTAAAACTTTGTCTTATCTGCTTATGGTTTCTATCTTGTGTGCCTGTTTTAAGTCAACTCTTATTTATGAATTGAATAAGACATTTTATGATAAAAAAAAATATAAGAATCTTCAAAAATAGTCTTATTTACTTTTGTTAAATATGTGCAACATGAGGATATGGAGCCTTATGTACAATCAATACCGAGACTTCCCGAATATTGAGTTTGAAGACAAAAGATACCAAACATTGACATAATGTAGCATAGTGAGCCTCACCTGTCCAACTAACGAACTTTAAACATGTTAATTCAATGATTATAATGTAATGATTAGTTTTAGTTAAGTTTTTTAGTCTATCTAATTTCAGTTTTTGTTCTAAATACGATATCTCTACAACTTTTTGTAATAGGTAGTGTATGAATTAATTTATATTGTGGATACAATTAATTTTCAGTGTCTCTCTATAATGTTTTCTTTCTCTTTATTATTGTTCTAGCCGCCCTTTTTCGCTAATAATAATATCAAGAGTTTCAAGACTCGGGAAGAAGAAGAAATAGAAGAAGAATGACGATGACAGGTTCTAGGTTGCATAATAACATACCAATGTTCGATAATAAGAATCTGAATGTGTAAGACAATTGGTATGTGAAAATGAAAGTCATTTTTTGTTTTTAAGAAGTCTTGGATGTAATTCTAAATTGATATGAGGGACTACCGGAGAACCCCATCGAGGAACAATATGCGACATTTGGAGAGGAAAAGAAACATGATTGCAAAGCTATGTTATGCATTCATCAATAGTGGCAGATCTTCTTGGGAACTGAGGGGGGTCGTGCCACTCCCAAAGTTTTGTAACTCCTAAGTAATTTATGATTTTGATCTCCCCAAACTTAATGATTATTTAATATATTTACTTGTATATTTATAATTTTATCCTCTCAGTCTCTCCTCAGTTTTATAACTCTCATATAATTTATGATTTTACCCTTCAAACTTAATGATCATTTAATATATTTATTTATACATTTACAATTTTATCCTCTCAACTCACTCTTTCATCTTCTTTCGCCTTCTTATATTTATTTTATTTTTTAATAATATATTATTTGGCCCCCCTAAAATCAATGGTGAAGATCTGCCTCTGTTCATCAGTGTGTTAATGAAAGAAAATTTGAGAAGATTTTGTTAGGAAACTCGATAAAAGAAGCCTGGGAATACTAGCGCATAGTTACACAGGCGAGGAAAGGTTGAAGGTGGTGCGATTTCAAGTCTTGTGTCGTCAGTATGAGTTGTTGCAAATGAGGATGCAATCAATCATCCAATAATACTTTACAAGATTGTTATTGATCACAAACTTGATTAAGTCATGTGATGAAAGTTTGAAAGAATGAATGGTGGTTGAGAAGGTGTTGAGAACCCTCTATGCTAGATTCGATATGATTTTTGTAGCTATCAAAGAGTCTAATAATCTTGATTTGTTGAAACTTGATGAACTACATGGGTCATTGGAGGTGCACAAATAATGGTTAGGTGAGAGAGAGGAAGAGAAGTTGAACATGGATTAGGTGTTGTTGATGAAACAAAACCAGAAGAATGAAGGAAATCGAGGAAAATCGAACAAGAGAAGTCGAGGAAGAGGAAGAGGTAAAAAAAAAATGGTGGACGAGCAATAAGAATGTACAATGTTACAACAAGTATGACCATTATATTGCTGACTGTTGGAGCAAAGAAGAAGAAGCGAATGTTGTACAAAAACAAGACTCGGGGGAAGAAGTGTTGTTAATGGTGACCACGATGAAACCAATGGAGACTTTTGGTGAATCTTGGTATTTGGATACTGGTTGTTTATCACATGTCATTTTAGAAGAGTTGGTTCGTCGATCTAGATGAAAGTGTGAAATTGAAGATGAAATTTACTGATAATTAGATAGTGAGTTGTGAAGGAAAAGGCAGAATAATGATCAAAAGAAGGGATGACAAATTTGTAATAATTTTGGATGTTTTGTATGTTCCAACCACAGAGTACAATTTGTTGAGTATTGGTCAAATTCTTCAAAAAGGACATTTGATCGATTAGAGATCAAGGGAGCAGATGTTGAGAATCCTCGATTAGAATGAGACATTGATTTTGAATGCACCTCTGAGCAAGAACAAAGTTTTTTCAGTCAATATTCCAATTGAATAACTTGTATTTTGTAATAGTAGTTTCTTATGTAAATTGGTTATGGCATTTAAGGTATGATCATCTTGGTTTTGATAGTTTGAGCCAACTTACAGAGAAGGAGATGGTGATTGGATTGTCTTGAGTCAAAAAATGTAAAGACATATGTGAAGGTGTATGACAAGGAAATAAGTCAGAAATTCCTTTAAGGTGTGCATTGAGACAAGAAGCAAGAATGTGTTGAAAGTTATCTACACCGATGTGCGTAGACCCTTCAATGTTTCTTCCTTGGGGGAAAATATGTATTTTGTGATGTTCATCGATGACTATAACAAGAAGATGTGAGTGTACTTGATTGAGAAGAAGACGGAAGTGTCAAGTCACTTTGTCAATTTTAAATCCATGGTCGATGATCTATGTTATTTTACTATTTATTTCTTGATTTAAGAAAATTTTCTAAGCTAATTATTTTCTTCATAAATCATGCATTTAACATGTTTTATAAAAAAACATATCATAATTCAATTTTTCTTAATTTATTGCATTTTGCATAGTTTTAGAATAAAAATAATATACATGCATACATCCATATTACATATTTCTTTTTCTTATTTTGTAGGAGAGGTAATTTGAGATGAGCCAAATTGATGAAAATAAATGCCCAAATTGATGCAGTCAAACTTCACTCTTCTCGAAAGCCAAAGTTTGCTTGTGCAGTCCACCTGCAGAGTGTTACAAATGGAAATTCTGAATAAAGCAAATTAACTGGTGTGTGAATCCAATTTAACTAAAATTAAATGCCAGTAGGAATCAAGAAAAAAATTCAAATTAGTGTTGGATCACTCAAGATAGGAAATAAGCAAATTATTTTCTCAAAATCAATCCCAAAAATTTCTCTTCACAGTAATCCAATTTTGTAATTATTTATTTGGGAAACATTTAATTTTATTGTAATTAATTTTAGCCTTAATTTCTCTTGTTCAATTCCCTATAAATAGAGGTCTTATGACAACATGATCATAATTTCCTGCTCTGGGGCGAACTGCTGTTTAGTCTCTTCCCTATTTTCTTTTATATTCTCAGTTTTTAGTTAGGTGAGCTCATCTATTGCCACTGCACTTTCGGTTTGTTCTCTTTTGCTTAATTTGCAATTTCTATTGAATTTTCCAATTTATATTATTCAATTTACTTTATTCATTTAGTGCTCATTTTAATTTATGCTATTTAATTATTTAGAATTTTTATTTTATTCTAGTACTTGTTTAATTTTCATTTTTAATTCATCTTTTTTTCGATTCTAATTCTCAATTTAGTTTTAAAGTTATTGTTTTCAGAAATTTTAAATTTAATTACTGCAATATTTTATTTTAAAGTAATTTTTAATTCTTGCACTTTTAATTAAAAGTACTTTATTTTAATTTTATCAATTTCAGTTATTTAAATTCTACATCAATTTAATTTTAATTATTGCACTAATTTATTTTAAAGTAATTTTTATTCTTGTACTTTCAATTAAAAACACTTTATTTTAATTTTATAAATTTCAGTTATTTAAATTCTGTTTCAATTTAATTTTAATTGTCATTAATATTCTATAACAAATTGATTTTAATTTTTATTATTTTGCATCAATTTATTTCTTTTTCACTCTTTCATCCATCTCCTATTTACTACTATTTACTTGTTTATAGAGAATGATATGTGGTAATGAATGTGTCGTTGTGAGATTCGATATTGGTTAGCTATATTACATTAGTTTAACAACTTGTTTATTATTTTTTATCAGTATTTTATGAAAGAATTAATGGTTGAGTTCAAGAGGGGGGTGAATTGAACTTAAAAACTTTTTCGCAAAACTTTACTTTCTTTTGGAAGAATGAGTTATCTTTATTCAATTCTTGAAAAGATGATTTGATTTAAAACACGGCAAGATTATATTCGAGAATTTAAAAGAGATGATAGAAAGAAATCAACACACAAATTTATCTTGGTTCACTCTAATCCAGAGCTACGTCCAGTTCTTGACAAAACCTGTCAAGTTTTCACTAATACCAAGTGACAATTACAACCAGTAGATCCTCACCAATCTACACCAAGAACTATCTTTTCAACCTATAAGATAGAATCTTGAAAAACACCCGATAACCAAATCCGATTCTTGTACCAAGTGTAGATTACAATCCAATCTACACAATTCACACGATACAAAAGAATAAGGAAAGAAGAAACCTGGACTTTGAATTCTAATTGCCCGACACCAATTCTAAAGCACTCTCTCGTTGTGAATGACCACAATGTTGATCAAAGCACCTTATGATATGACAAAATCTTGAATGCGAGAGAAAAACGTAGATGAACGATTCACAGATTGATTTCTCAAGTTTTCTCAAGTAGTGTGTTGTATATATTTTAAAAGATAGATCAATACTTGTTTATATAGAGTAAAACAAAGTTTCGAGTACGTGTTCTCTATCAAAATCTATTACGAGAGAGAAAAACAATCAATTAAATTTGAAGTATATCGGATAAAAAGTGATTCGACCGATTAGAATAGAAGAATAATCGATTAGACTGAATTATGATCGATTATATTTAAACTATGATCGATCAGAATATATTTCAAGCGATTGAAACAGCGATTCAATCGATTGATTTCACTTAAAGGTTCATTCAATCGATTGATTCGAGTTTTCAATGGATTGAAACGACTTTATGAAAAATAATAGCTCTCGTTTCAAC